TGAGGCTCAGGGGAGGGTCAGTGGCTTTGGAGGTTATTTGCTCATAAACTGATGTAATATTAGCCAAACAAATGTCGACTTGGTGGTGGCACTAGACGACAAGTCAGGTGATTAGCAAAGTTTATACAATTCATCCTGAGGAGAACATGAAATTTGGAGTCACATTTCATCAGCATCCATTCAATAGTTGTTTAGAAACTACAGACCAAAGTGTTGGACTGACAGCAAACAACATCCAAATGATGGTGAAAATCTCACCAGACTCTTTTATTCACACACAGGAGGCATATTCTGTGAGTGAGTCCAAAGAGTGGAGCTCAGTCTTAATGAGCAGGAAAGATCATGTTGTTCTCATGTACCTGAAGTTTGGCACATGTATCAACAAGCTCCTTACATTTCCTCACAGTCTCAAGATCCTTTGTTTTGAAAAATGCTGCTTCACAGTGTGTTGTTCACACACTGGCGTCCTCCGCTGACTCGCCTTACGTCAGCTTATTGTGTTTGCACAGCAGTGTGGTTACACCTTTGTACACACAACAGGACACGTGAAACCGTATACAGCTAAAGTTAGACAGGTATGTAGCTATGCACTGTAGACACACAATGCTGTGACACATTTAGAGCCACCAAAATAGCCCTTTGTTAAAAATAACACAAAGGAGCCTGGATTCTTCTCAGAGGCCGTGCACAGCGGCCTGCAGAATCGTGAGATGAGTCGACAACTTTATCCTCCGTCTCCACAGTCATGAGGTGCACAATGATGGTGCTCAGGTTACAAAATATTTGTGCACACACTGGTTGTGCACACGGCGGATTGGCAACAAACTATCTTTCAGTTTTTCGGGGCTTGGAAATTAATTTTTCACTCTGAAGTTTCATTGTAATGTCAGTGAGTTCGGAGGATGGTGACGTTCAGTGTCTTTACATGCATCGTCCATCACATGTCCAGAGCAGCTGTCATTTCAGCATGTATAAAAATGCAGAGCAATGTATTTTGGGATTGTTAGGGGAAAGTGGTGCATGTGTCATAGACTGGTCCATAGATGGCGCCATATTACTGATACATTTACACAGAATTAGGACACTCGAAACTGCAGACAGCAAACACAGTGCAGTGCACATGCAGCATTAAACAGGGGCCACAGTGTCAGGGTGGTATAAGTCACCAGCTACACTCGCTGTGCCACACAGACACAATAAGCATTTACAACATTACAACAATTTTCATTAAACTCATTCTGCTTGTAGCCAGAGTCCTCACAACATTACAACAATTTTCATTAAACTCCTCGGCCAGCACGTGGTCATCAGAGACTATACAGTGCTTACATGCACTGCAGTAACCTACTTACTGTTAATTCACACACTGTGCACGTGCAGCAGATTTCCAGCCTTTTTTGGGACACACAGCTTTTCTATTTTAACTACAGCAGTAAGAGAAGTCGCACACTTGGACCTGATGACTTGTACTGAAGCACATTTAGATGCCTTCCTGGGTCAGCGCGGTATCTGGGAACACCTCACCCTCATCTCGCCAGAGTGTTTGTCAAGTTTCTCCTTGTCCTTTGTGTGGTGTGATGCTGCAGTGGCTGCCGTCTGTTGTTTGCACTGACATGGTAACAGAACTCCGCATTTTGGCTCATACCTGCTGAGAGGAAAAGGCTCAGCCCATCAGCTGCAGGAAGCAGGAGGTGGAGGCACGTTCGAGCTTGAAAAATCACAGTTATTACAGCTAATGATACAGATAAATGTTTCTCAGCACTGAGATCACATCGGCTAACACCCTGCTCGGAGCAGTCGGCCTCATCACTCCGTAGGAAAATTCCACTATCAGTCATCCTCAGCTGTAGGTTTGGTTCCACCCCGCTGGTTGTTTCATTTGAACATCCATAAAGAGCTACAATTAATCAGATGGAGGTTCACCCCAGTTTAATGATAAAATCAGAAGATCTGATCACTTGAAAGTTTCTGTGGACCAAAGCTGTGACAAACTCTGAAGTCATGTCTGTTTTAAAGCCATATAAACTTAGCTAGGACATGATTTAGGAATTCAGATGCTGCTTTCTGTCCATCAGTAAAGATCAGTTTACAAGATTCTGAATGACAGGAACTGAACTTTGTTTACTAAAGATCTAGTCTGTTTTCATTTCTGGACCCTCGCTCACAGTAAGCTTTAAAAATACAGCATCTGTATAAGAGGTGGCCTCGTGACTACATACTGGGAATCCAGTTGGAAAGAGAGACCTGAGCAGGGCTCAGTGTTTGTTTGGTTTGAAAAGGAACAGAGCATGTGAAACGCTGGCACGTAGTCCTCTCAACCTCCTCCCTACGGGATTACATCACCATTTACAAGACATCTTCAGCAACATCCTACATTTGCTGCCGCCTTCATTACAACAGCCACCAGCGGTCTCCTAACTATACACTATCCACAGCCACTGGCTGGCCCACTGGTAGCTGCAGGTGGCCCCTACTGGACCATACATATAGAAGTGATAACTCTGTGACCTTCTAAGGACATGATATTCAAATAGATGCGCGTGGAGGTTAAACTTCACATGTGCCAGAGGAAAAGTACAAACCTTATCTCCAGAAAACTCAACTGTGATTTGTTAATTCACTTGAACCTTTAACTGACAAGAGTACAAAGAAAAGGTTTTGTGTTTTCACTGACTAAATGCACTTTGAAAAATATAAACAAATGTAGAATTTGACATCCGTGTTACATCACTTTTACTTTTAATGGCACTTTCTAATAGTTTGGGAACTGATGATACGAGTTGCTGCAGGTTTGCAAGTGGAATATTGGCCCATTCTTGCTGGACAAGACCTCAGCTGCTCAACAGCCTACGGTCTGATTCTCCTGTTCATCATGCTTCGTACATTTTCAATAGGAGACGTATGTGGGCATTAAGCACAGTCACTCTGTGTCTACAAGGCCACGTTACTGAAGCACACGCAGAATGATGCCTGGCATTGTCTTGCTGAAATATCTGCAGACTGCCTGGGAAAAGACATTGCCTTAATGGCAGCATGTTTCTCTAGAATCCCTGTACGCACCTCACATCAATGGTACCTTTACACATAAGTCACATGCTCAGCTAAATCAAGATTCAAGTGAATGAACACATTACAGATTTTTAGTTTTTATTACATTCTGGAAAATGTCCCCACTTTTCTGGATACAGGTTTGTATGAAAAGCACAGGGATCCCAGGGTCAAGCTTGTCTGAAGGGGTCATCCACCTGCTGACAATACAAGAAAGTTTCCAGTGGTATTTTTAAGCATTTTATTTGAGTGTAAACAGCGAATTTTATCATTTGATTGTCTTTTGTTAAGTAGAATTTCACTGGTTTGTTGCTGGTGCACTGAGCTCTGGTGGGAACGATGTTGCAGAAGGTTTCAGAGTAGTTCAGGTGGAGTGCCACGTGCGCTGTGCACCACCGGACCCGTGACACAGTTTTACCCAGAAAAGCCCAAAAGCTCTAATCAGCAGCTGGTTTCTAAAACTGGTTTCTGTGTCACGACTGCTCGGAGGTTAAAAGGGAACAGGTGCATATTTGTTCTCACAGCATAGCATCTGCAGCATAACGATGCCACTCACAGCAGGAGGGTTGGGTCTGTAGAGGCCGACTGTGCACGAGTTCGTCTTCAAGTTCTTCTGACAACTGATGATCAGCTATTAACTGTGCAGTCACTGAAGAGCTGCCTAAGCAACTCCAACACAAACAGTCGGTGATCTTCACCCAGTCTCATGGGCAGACTCAAACTAACAGGCCTGTGTGTGTGTGTCACAGAGCTCCACTGTGTCCAGGAAGCACACTGACATGCTCCATCACCATGAACACACACTCAGTCCCACATGCACTGTTCAGCTGCACAGTTACTCACTGGAGACCAAATCTGGATTCATCTGCCGCTGAAAAAAGTCCAACACCTGCACTGAGTAAAACAACAGCAAACTGTTCTGGGGAGTGTGAGCCAGTTTTAAATGAAGCTATTTATTTGTGAGGTGTTGTAAGGGTTAATGTTCTCAGCAGCAGAGGAAGTCAAAGATGGACTACTACTGTCCACACAACAGCAAAGTGACCGACGCAGAGACTAAAGGAGAGGAGAAACTTAGACTGTGCATCTTTACAACTACTTTGGCATGTTTGGGTCCTGTAATAATAAAATGGGAATCGAGTGTTTTTACAAACAAAGTAAACATGATCAGCTTTTTCTTTAATCCTGATTCCGTCATACTTCAACCAAAACGGCACCAAGGTTCTTCAGTAGGAACCAGTGGGCTCAGAGTGGAGAGCTGCACATAGTCGGGAAGTCACGATGTGCTTAGAGGCAAAGTAACAGACATTCATGGGAATGTGACAATAAGAAATGTAGAATAACAGCAGCCTTATGAAGCCATCGGCAGTGTAAATGTGGACACCACTATGTTCTTGCAACAGGAGAAAACCAGTGTTTGTTGCTCTCGGTGTCTGGGAGCAGCAGAGGAGGAGCTGATGTTCAAAGCTGTTGGCTGATATCAAATTAATACATTACAGGTCTAATTACAAACTCCCATGACAACTGCTAAACAAACAGCCAATATATTTGCATACACAGGCTGTTAATAGCAAACCTCCAGGAGCTGTTTTGACGCCGGCCTCTCCCCTGCTCGGCCTGCAGCCTGGGGCTTCAGCAGCTCTGTTAATCTGTTGCTGCTGCAACCAGGACACAAAGCCACACTGATGTCAAGATGTTCAACAGGAACTCAGACCTTCAGGTTGTGCTCAGAGACACGTTCAACCATCTCAGAGTCACACCACACTTTTTCTGAAGCCCAGAAACAAACAAAAACTGTACTTGTATTTATTAGATGGAAACATGTCACATGATCCAATTAGCTCCTGGCTAACAGGTTTCTCACTGCGCACATGAACTGGAACATACAGCTGACCGAGCTTCACACTGCCTTTGTTGTAGAGCTCTGGGCTCTGTCTCTGCTGTCAGGTTATTAAGGCCAATCAACATCGGCTGTGCTCCAGAGCCTGCAGGGATCACTGGGCTCCATGTGCCGAGAGGTCGGAGTGAGGTCAGCTGGGTCTGAAACCGGAGGGAAAGAATAAACTTTTCATGAACTGTTCAGTTATATTTCCCCTTCCAACAGGGCGGTGACGCAGCAGCTTAGTGGTTAGTGCTGTCACCTCACAGTAAGAAGGTTCTGGGCTCGACCCCAGGCCGACCCGGGGCCTTTCTGTGTGGAGCCTACATGTTGTCCCTATCCCAGCCCAGGTACTCATGCTACCTCTCACAGTCCAGAAACATGCAGCTTAGGTTGACCCTGTTCGGGAGTAAGGCTTATAGATAATGATGGATGGTCTCTTAACAAATATGAATACATTTCCTGATTGTCTACTACTACTTTGATCTGCAGTGAAAATGGAAATGGACAGTTGATGATTGTTTGACTAAAACATCTCTTTCACCTCTGGATTAAAGTTTCAGTTTTGGCTGAATGAAAACCTATTTTTGGGAGCTGAACCTTGTCGTGAGAGCTGAGCGTCTCTCATCCTCCTCCTGGAGCTCCACACCCTGCTTTCCACCTCTAACCACTTTTCCTATCTGTTCATGCCTCCCTCTTTCTAATCCTCACCTGCTGAGGAAACGTATTCCTCTCACTTTTCGTGCAAAGAGCACATTATTTGTAAGTTGGAGGCATCGTCCTCCCGGGCTACACTCTGGTGGGACATAAACACAGACAGTGAAACACAGGACTCCGGCCTGGGGCTGAATATCTGGGAGAGGTGGAGGTAGCGTGCAGGACAGCACACAGGTTGTGACAGAGAGCAGGGGAGAAACCTCAGCTATGTAAAGTGCATACCTGAAGGTATCCTCACACAGGTGTCTGGGCTCAGTGAACTCAAGTTCAACCCACAGTCACGATGGTTACTAAACATTTCACTTCCAGAGGTTATGACTGTGAAAAGGTATAAATCATTGGGCTTGTTCAGATGATCTGGGACTCACTGGATGTTCCTCTGGCACTAATAATCATAGCCCTTTTGCAGGAACTGATTCTGGACCAATACTGATCACAAGTCACTGATCAGCTGCCAACCCACTGTGGGAGAGGACGCTGATACTGGGCGGTGATGCAGAACTCTAGACTGATTTAACATGACAACCCTGTAGCATGTTCTCTGAAAAGGATCACAATGGATTGAGCAGGACCAGAGACATCAGGGCCCACTTCCCATTACCCATGATGCACCTCCAACACCAGCTGGTTAGAGGCTGGCACGCCAACAGCTAATATACTGTAGCCTAGAGAGCCTGTGGCCTGCAGCTACAGATGAGCGATCAGCTCATGTCTTCCTGGCTCCACACCCCAAGATGGTGCTGACTCATGTGACATCACATGAGGACACTTCTTAGACGTCATGGCTCCATCAAGACACAAGAGGCTTTACGCTACTTGTTTTGCATATGCAGTGGTGGTCAACACTGGAAAATTACTGTTAAAAGACAGAGTGCTGCAGGCAAACAAACTAAAGGCCTGATGAGGGTTAGGCATGACTGGTGTGCAACACATACACCACCACACCTGGTTCGTTCAGACTGTGGATGTGGATGCACCTCTCCTCATGTGACAGCTGGGGGTACGTACATCTAAACAACAAACAGGTCAAAACAGAAAGCAACGT